CGGCGGCTCCGCTGAGATAAAGCTGGGGAGTGACACACAAGCACTGAATGGGATGAACAAGGGAGGAGTCCCGGACAGATGTTTATGCACTCCCCATCTCCGCCCTCCCCAAATCACAGCTTTTCTTGCCTTTTTCCCCTCAGAAACACCTCTCTCGCCACAGCATTACAATATTCAGCTCAGCTGAGATGTTCAACTCTTTTGAAGGATCATGACTATCACTATAACCGCTCTATATTACCTGTCAACCATTTGCATGAGTTACAGGGCTAGGTTTTTTTTTCTTTTGACGCTTTTCGGTGACAGAAAATGCACCCTCCCTCCCCCCACACACGCCCCAAGGTCTGCTAAAACGTCCGTTCCAATGTGTCTGTTTTAGCTAAGGCATTATTTCCCGATGCCTTTGATCATGAATTGTGATATCACTTGGGTTATGTGCAGTGCTTGCAAATGAGTTTCTGCTATAGGAAGACATATGTCAGAGAACAGAAAATTGGAACCACTTTCCCAACAAGATTAACAATTCAACCAGAAACATGTTGAGAGCCACCCTTAGAATTCCTCCGACATTCGAAATCCTGGCCGGTCTACACTACAGCCTAAACGGATACCATTAAGTTGCCCAGGAGTGCGAAAAAGCCCCCCCACGCCCTCTGCGGCAAAAGAGCAGCAAACAAACTAGACTGAGTTGAACATGGTCCTTCTCGTTAGTCTTTTTTTAATATCCGTGTAGAATTTAAATCAACTCCGAATAAATAAAATACATTCACATTTTTTAAAGCAAACCAATGTAACCGTGTTTTTCTGTCCCAAATAACGTGTTCTAGACAAAGAAGTTTCTGTTTAGCAGCCCCATATTATATACGATACTGCATAGGGGGACCGTCTTTTGATATAGCACAAAATGTTTTACTGTGCTCTGAACAACCTGACACTGATCATGAGAAAGAGAGCGCTCTTGAACCTGTCTCTCTCAATAAGAATTTATCCTACTGTAACGGAATTAAAATATTACATTTTAAGCTCCCGGGGCTGCATTCCAGAACCAAAATGAGATGTAGCGAAGACATTTCCCAGAGCCTAGGTCTTTTTATCTTGGCAATTCAAAGCCATTCCAATAGATGCCAAAAGGTGACATTAGTGCATTAATTCAAAGAAACAACAAGAAGAAGGGGGTTGTGCGGAACAGGTGATAAGAAATCATTAGGACATTGGAAGCCAAGAAACTTGAATGATTGAGGTGTTTCTAGCGGTAAGTGCTATTGACATTCACGACTGCGGATAACTTTAAAAAAAATCCATGGATAATAATGACATACAGGGAAATCTATTTTGCTCCGGAAATACATTGCTAATTGCTTCTGCACGTTTGAAAAAAAAATCTATTTGAGAGCAATGTATGTACTGATTGTGTTGGCTCCAATTTCTGAAATTTCTCTCTCTCTCTCAAAAAAAATGTATAGTTGTTTTAGATCAAGCTAACCTCCAGTTCCCAGTGAGGTGCAACAAGAACATAAGGGACTATTCCTTCAGAGTGAAGAAAGGACATCAGACAAGTAAACACAGCTTACTCCAAGCACCTCAAATACAGAAAGGGACCTGAGTTGAAGCAAAATTCCTTCAGACATTCTAATGTCTAAGATCGACACCTCATTTCCCTCGATGACGTGCCTTTTTCGAGCTCCTCAGAACAGATGCTTGTTTTGTATCGAATCATTTAAAACAGATTATAAAGTCTAATGCCACACAGCAGTTTGTAACAACTTGGGGGGAAGGGGAGAGAGGGAAGGAAGGAAGGAGGGGAGGTCCTGGCATGCTAGGATCAGCTCAATAATTGCTTGCACCTTCAGGTTAAGTTATTTTCAGGACCCAAACATGTGGTTATTCCCTGTGAGGAGCAAATGTAAAATGCTGCCTAGTCAATTTAGTGGGACCTCACTACTTCAATTATAATTTGCTAATTCAGATTTATTGCCTTTAAATATCGAGTTTCAAGGGACTACCATCAATGCAGGCTTAATTTCATCCCACTGATGAAGGGGGTTTATAAAGGTCCCTGCGGTGAAAGCCAAGGGGGAAAATATCAGTTTGATGCTTTCGCTAAGAATGTCAAGGTGGCACATACATTATTAGGCGATTACACGTTACGGCTCAGCACTGTACAATTATATTGTGCCTGCCTGCATCCGGCAAGATGGGCTCTGGCCTTTCATGCCCTCCGCTCCCGGGGCTCCATCAATGCAGAGCAGCCGAGTGACTCTACCCGGAGCATCGTGTGCCAGTTCTTAATTCGGGAGAGCCCGGGGACAAAGGAGCACTCGTTTATCTTCCCATGGGACTAAAGCGCCCGTTGCTGAGGTTATGGTGTTTGGGGTGGATCTCCTCCATGCACGTGTAAGAAGGTATTCTAAGGGCAGCCTCGTGTATTATATAGGTGCAGATCCATTTATTACATAGAACCAAGGTAATATTTTTTCCAGCTTGGAATAATTCTCATCAAGTGTACTTCAACGCGCGTCTTGATTAAAAATCCTCTTCCCAGCAAGGGTAGAGGAGTTTCCTTCTCTTTAATCTTGGGACCTAAGCCTTAGTGACATTGGTTTAGAAGCTATAGGTAAACCAAAGGACCCCTAAAGGCCATGGAAAAAATGAGATTCGCTTACAGAGCCTAAAAACTATAGAATAAGAGGGGAGCTGAAGTCAAACGCTTTGGGAAATTTAACTTCCTGGGAAGCAGGAACCTACCACCTATATTACTTGTTTAGATTTCTATTGTGTGCTGTCCTAACATGAAAGTAAATGTAACATTTAGTGTAGCCCAGTCACATCAGAGAGATAACTGGCGAATCCGCAGCACGTGAACGCCTGGTAAAAGTGGTGTCACAACATCATTCTGGTGGCAAAGTTGCCCGACAAGTCATTTGTAAAGCGAAGGTCACATATAAAACCGATGTTTGTTTACAATGTAGACATAAACGATGAACTCAACCTCTACTCCCAAACTGGCAGGTATTTTCCAAAGGGAGTGGGTATTTTGAAATCCTCCAGCATTAGTTGTCCCCTTCAAAATAAGTAAATACAAATCTAAATATTAATATACTGTATATTTCAAATCATTTTATATTGTAATTGAGGGAGAAAGATGAGGGGAAAGCCCCCCTCTTTAATTGCAAATCTCTGAAGTTAGAGAAACCAACCTTTCCTGGAGCTCTTCGGTAGGCTTTGTGCTCCCCTCTCGATTTTAGTTTGCGAGCAGAAGTTTCTTCATCCTCCGTCTGAATCTGTAGAGAGCTAACGACACTTCAGGATGATTCTCTGGACAAGGCATTAGGCGGAATGTTTAACTACACAGCCCTAAATTCTGTTCGAAACCCTAGCTCCAGTCCTCCAGCTCTCAGAGTTCAGCAATTTCGGGTGGCTAGGCTTTCTATCATACTAACTGTCATAAACCTAGTCATAATAAGAAAAAAAAACACTGTCTGCCTTGCTGTCTTTCCGAGTTTACACTGCCAATAGCTGACATGGATATTAGGATTAGGTTGAAAGCTAAACTCTTCCTATCTAAGGTCCGATCGGGTTTAGGGTCGATTTTTGTCCAAGGAGAAATCTCCTCGGGCCCGATCTATGCAAACATCTTTGCAAGTGAATGAGTAACTGTAGCCAGTGACTTTCTGAACTCAATGGAAACTATCCACCGGTGTGAAAGTTATTCAGGTATTTAAGATTTCGCAACATCGGTCTGTAATCTGGGTAATATTTTCAGAATGCTGGGGGTGTGCATTAAGCAACAATGTTGACGGGGTTTATCTCCGCGCAGGATCTCTTGAAAATAAGAAGACTCACCCTATCGTCAGAGAAACTTGCATTGTATCCAAATGTATAAACAGCGAAATCAGCCGCTTGTAGTCTGTTTTACATAGCGTTGACAAAAATGCCTTGCATCTATACATCTACCTTTAGACAGAACTAAAACAAAACAACGGGAGAGAGGAATGGGAAAATAAACAAAACTTTAATTAAAACCACATGGATATGATTTAGTTAAATACCTACACAGAAGCAGACACAGAGTATTACCTCCTCACCTGCAAGTTGCAGAAGTTGTTGCTTTATTCTAATAAAAGGGGTCAGAACGCATCGGTACTATTTTGTTTGGTGGAACTCTATGGGGATTGTCCCTAGAATCATAAGAAAAACGCACAAATAATCTACACAGAATCATTTACCTATTAGAATCACCTCTAATTTTTCAGAAACTCTCTGGGTAGTGGACAGCCAACAGGCTCTGTCCAGGTCAAGATAAAAGATACGGACGCTAATTAGCAACATATTTTATTCTTTTAGGCTTGATTTCAAAACTACAGCAATGCCATAAGCTTTAGGCTGCTCAGATGTTCCTTTTTTATCTTAATGAGAAAGGTTTTAATGATAGGAACTTGGCGATATGGGTAAGAACAAAAAATAGCTAGGTGGTTTTAGAATTTGCTGCGTTTCTCTGGGCGAAACAAACGTATCAGGCTTCGGAGTTCAGTAGAATAGATAAAACCTACAGTTCACACATACTCTTGCTTTCCCTGATATTTGTCTTCTTTGTTAATACAGAAAGAGGTGTAACCCGAACCTTTGTTTAGGTTTGGAGGAGAAGCTGTGGCAAACGATGAAGACGGAGCTTTTAAAAAAAAAAAAGTTAGCGGTGCCTGTTTTTTTTTTTTTTAAGAGCAAAAATCTGGAACAGGTTTGCTTGTAACGATAAAGATCTTAACATGTATAGAAGGCGGGTTTTACACAAGGAGGTGAGGCTAGAAAGCCAGCAAAAGGCTGCGAGGTTTTTTTTTTTTTTTTTTTCTTTGCGAGGTTCCACCCACTTGAAAACAAAACTTTTTTTTCTGAAGGGCCTCACACCAGTGAAGTTGGGAACAGGATCTTAAGAACAGCCTTGCAAGTAGTGGCAACATACGGGCCTTGGAGTCTTTATTTTTTTCCGCCCTTTAAAGGTGCTTTTGTGTTTTCTCTGTCGGTGGAAGCGCTGCCCTTTCTGGAGTTGGTATGTGATAAGAGGTCCTAGCAGTGCCATGTATTGGAAGAGCGATCAGATGTTTGTGTGTAAACTGGAAGACAAGGACATTCCTGCGCTTGGTATTTCCACTGAGAAGGTGAGCTGATCCTAGGCAAAACCCAGAAGCGGTGCCGGGAACGCGAGTAGTCGGTTTCTCAGAGATGCAGGCTAACGTTACCAACCTTCGGGCTACATAATTTTTCGAGTTTCTTTAGACGTGGCAGTGGATTATAATTTGCGAAGCACATCTAGATAGCTAAAGTGTACCGCCAGGAAGGAAGGGGGGGGGGAATTGTTTAGCTTTTAGACCCAGTAAGGCCTTTAAATTAGTCTGAATAACTGAACATTCAAATCAGCACGATAATTTGAACACTAACGCTGTAAACTGATACTAGTACTCCTAATTTAAGTCACCAACGCTGTAAAAGCTGGTTATATTAAATAGACCTTAGTTTGGCAAATGTGTACCCACAAAATAGAGACCGAGCCTTTAATATATCTATATGAGCGAGCGAGCGAGCAATAGGCTGTGACTATATTAACTTGCCTAGGAATATTTAAAGTATTCAGGAGCTCGCGGTTATTTTATGACCAGAGCAAAACTTCCATTTCTGGTTAAAAGTTTAAAAAAATACTGTGAAAATAGTAGTTTTGATTAGGAAAGTTATCACACGTAGTGAATATTCAACGCTTAGGGATGTTTAAGCAATATCACATCCGCTGCTCTGTAGATTTTGTATATACGAAGATTTAACCTTTAATCTTTACTTATTTCATTTTAAGGAACCAAAAAGTGGATGTTTCCCCCCTGTAGCTATAGTGTGATTTCTGTAAGCTTGGAAAACTAGGAAGTAACTGCGGGGTGTGTGTATCAAAACAATCACGCACATACATACACACACACACACACACACACTTTCCGAAACGCAACGTGTACGGTAGAGCCGGGAGGATTTGTGTAATAGCGCTCCCGATTGTATTGCTTTAAAAAATGTTGACCCGCGATTGAACAAAGGTGCGATTTTTTTTAATGGCACCAAATTAAATTCAGCTGGATATTTTCCATTATTCGATCCGCTTTCTGCGCCAGTTAAAGATAATCCTTTAGGAGCTGAACTGTTGTCTCTTATTGAGCTCTTAAGTGGCAATTTACACCTTAAAGAAACGAGTGTAAGTCACTGGCGGCTCTAATTGTAGCAAGTTTACCAAGAGCCGCTGGCTCCCTTGACTCCGAAGCATTTTCATTCAAAGCGTCACTGGAACAAACACCAGGCTGCTGAAATCCCGCTGTAATTAGTTTTCAAGTGTCCCATTAAAGCGCTCTCCCTTTGGGGTTCTCCAGCGCGGGGGCCGCTCTGCACGGCCCAGCCGTGCCCTTTTAATTGCAGTTATTAAAGAAATAAGCCCCCCTAGCCCGGCTGGAGGAGGAGAAGGGGGGAGGGTATTAACCTCCTGCCCCCACCCCGGGGGTCAGGCGCGCTCCTAGGGCACCGGGGGCGCACTCGTGGTGGGGCCAGCCCGGAGCTGCCGCCACCCCCTCCCCCAATAGGAGCCCGCGGGCATCGCCTCCGGCTCCAGGTGGCCTCATCAGCCCCCCGCCTGGGGAGGAGTTGGGGGTGGGGGGCTGCAGCGCGCTCAGCTCTCCCGTTTCCCCCTGCAGTTCCCGGGGCTCATGGCCGAGGAGTGCGGGAGAGCGGCGGCCCTGGCTGGGGGAAGGCGGCGGAAAGGCGCCGGGGAAGGGGAGCTGGTAAGTGACGGCGCGGCGGGGGCTCAGGGGCTGCGGGGAGAGGGCGGGGCGGTCCGAGCGCGCTAACAGGCCCCCCGCTCTCCCCCAGGTGAGCCCCGAGACAGCAGGGGACGAGGACTCCTGCTCTTCCTCTGCCCCGCTGTCCCCCTCCTCCTCGCCCCGGTCCATGGCCTCGGCCTCCGGCTGCGCCCCCAGCAAGTGCCTGTGCAGCAGCTGCGGCCTGGAGATCGTGGACAAGTACCTGCTCAAGGTGAGTGAGTGCGCGCCGCGACCGCCGGGCCCCGCCAGCCTGGCCGCGCAGGGAACCGGGGAGCTGCAGCGCCGCCCCCAGCTAGCTGGAGTCCGAGGGCGCTGTTGGCTTCAACAGCGAGCCCTCCCCTCTTGAACCCTACCCGGCTCCAACTCCTTAGCATCAGCTGCCTTGCCTGCAATGCCCTCCGGGCGGGGGTCGCCTCCCCAGCCTGGTGAAATGGGGGTGACTGGCTGGCCGCCAGGGCTTTAGTCCCCTGCGCGTTCGTTCACCCCATTCCTCTCCCAGGCTCGCCTTAGACTGGAGGCGAATGTAGCCCCCCTCGATTCCCTTGTGAACAAAGCGCTGGGGAGACCAATGTGAGAGGAACACAGATTGTGTCCGAAACACCCTGATTCGTTTCATCGGAGTATCTGGCTCTTGCAAACTATTGTGTGGGATCCCTCTTTAGCAACGGGCTGCTCGCACTTCAGGCTCGGCAGCAGGGCTGGTAATGCGGAGAGCGCTCAGTGAATAATTTCGCTTCCTTCTTTTAAAACCGCCTCTTTCTTTTTATAATGGTTCTTGGGGGATTGCTTCTTTCCCTCCCTCTCCTGTCCCCGGTCTATGATGCAAACCTTTACAGAGCCTTAGCGGCAAGAACACAAAGCCTTTTCCATTTGAAATCGTATCAGGAATTTGACTCAGGAGACTATCGACTTTTTTGCTTTTACTTCAAACAATTCACCATTTGTATCTTATGATCAGCAAAACCTAAAACACTGAGTTCCAGATTCTTTGCCCTCCTATCTTCACCTTGAACTGTTCCATTCTGGAAAAGATAACTTTTGCTAGCAGTCTATAGTTAAATTTGAAAACACTAAAATACTGACCTCTCTTTGTTTTTGCCACCACCATGTTAAAATCTAGTATGTTCATTTTTCATGGTTTCATATATTGGTCATTTCAAATTGCATCTGTCTAAAACTGCAAAATAATACCCGGGTCCGGTGAAATGCTGGCCCCACTGAAGTTAATGGCAAAACTCCCATTGATATAATTGAGTTATCCCTGGTGTCTTACAAAAAAATAAATGTTTAACATTTTGTGATATGAAGTATTTTAAATAAGCATAATTAATTGAATGGGCAACTCCCATTGTTGATTCAGAACTAGTTCTGAAATTACATAAAAACAAGTACATCAAAAGCACATGGCTGCTAATATGGGAACCTCTGTGAGTAAAATGCCAAACAAACTGCTAAGTACCTGTATTGTGAAAGTACCAGGAAAAATGAATCCTACACTTTGATTTCAGTCTGACTAATCAGTAACTGTTAGAAAGGGAGTTATATTATTTTGTATTAAGTGTTGAGAATTTACAGTATCTAGTACAGAACAATCTCTCCATAAGCCACACTATTTATATATGAGTTTTACTGGTTTCACTTCAACCACAAATACTGGGGTGTTTAATTCACAATCTTGTTTCTTGTTAGTGCAGCTGGGTTATGCAAAGTACAGTAATCCCTCATTTAATATCTGTGGAGCTGCACTACCAAGCATACTTTGTAAGTGATGAATGACATGTGGGTAATGTGGTACAAATCACCAGCCACTAACCTGAGTTTGAATAGGATTTGTTCAAGAGAAAACCAATGGTCTGAACTTCATGGAGTTTAACATGCATATTCACAAAGTGAAATACCACACTATTGGTGATCTCTACCCACAACTTAGGCCTTGTCTAGAACAGACAAAAGGTGGTTTAGCAAAAATATTTCAAGTAATACCATAAATGTGGGAGCACTGAGTGTAAATAGAATTTAAAGTCTTAAAAATGTGTTCTCTGCTCACAGTTGGCCCTGAAGTTGCCCACAGTTGGATTTGAACAGGGAGCTGCACAGATATGGAAGTTCTGTACAGTCTATCTGCATTATGGATGACTTAATTTCTGCCTAATGACATTTGCCTCGTCCTTGACACACATTCTATACAATTGTTCCTCGTCCATAGCCGAAAATACTGGCAGCCTGGGCATTTTATTTTCCAATATTTGTCCCTGATCCTGCAGACGTGTGTGTTCTTAACATTACATGTGAGAGCAGTCTCATTGCAGCCAATGGGACTACTCCCATGTGCAAAGTTAAGCACATGAGTAAGTGTTTACAGGAAGTGGGGGGCTTTAGTTGAAAGGCAAACTGTTGATGCTACTTTGAGAGAATTCTAGAATTAAGTGTTTTGGGAATTCCAGGAATATGTTGCCTCAGGAAACACTTTCTTTAAAAATAAGTTAGTAAGCTGCTCAAGCCATGGGCAGTTTCTTTTTCCTGTCCTGTATTATGCCAGTTACATTGTCAGTAGCTAATAAAAAGACATTTTGTGCATTTTGACATTCTAAAGGGAAAGTTGCTTTTCAGAAGTGTTCTCGAGCTATAGAAATAAGTTTAAACCTCTTGGGATGGTTTAGTAGCTTCTGTAGCGGGAGAAGGAGCTATACTGCACTGGAGCAGTATTGCCAGTCTCAATTGTTCAAAAATCATGAGTCAGACCTTAAAAGATCAAGAGACTGGTTATGAAACCAGTTTTTCATTTGCTGTCTGGGTTAGAGCCTTTAGGATACACTTGGGTCTGGGTTAGAGGCTTTTGGGTGCACTCGGCTCAGGATATCCTGCTTTTGTCCACAGCCATGAGGCTAGACAATTTACCTATCATTTTTAAAAAAGTCAATTAATCACTTGACTCCATAAGCTCCATAAATAAACAACCACTTACCCAACACTCTCAGAATGTTGTCAGAACAGTAAGCACTGCTTGAGGCATTTTACATTTCTTTTCTCTTTCTACACTTTCTGTTCGTCCTTTCAATTCAAATGTTATCTTGAGGGTTGGAGGGGTAAGGGTAGGGGATATATATTATATATTTATGCCACTTTATTATTCATTGATGGGTTTAGATAGAGGGAAAAGTAGCTAGAAAAGAATGTCTTCATCTTTACTTCTACCAACACTAGTAAAGCCAAAACCATTGTTAGCAATAGTGGGAAATACTTAGTACAGACCATTTTCCTAGAGACTTGGTTCAGCCCAGATGCTTTTGTTCCACCTCCACTAGCAGTATAACCATTTTCACCTGGCTTGGGAGGATCAATTGCTGACAGCCATTATCAACAGGGCAGTTTCTTACCATGGACAAGGATATTGAGAGGTGGAGATCAGCATTAAATTGTGATGTTCTAATAAATCTGTTAATTTGTTTTGTCTTTGTTTCAATAAAGACTGCTGCCAATATGATTATATATTGAGAGAGAATGCAGGACAATATGTAAACAACTTTATATTTTAGTATAATAGGCTGAAATTTTTCTCCTCAAAACATCCTTCATATGCATACATTATTTTGTAGGTTATTGTGATAAGTCAACTACGACTAGGGTGACCAGATGTCCCGATTTTATAGGGACAGTCCTGATTTTGGGGTCTTTTTCTTATATAGGCTCCTACTACCCCCCTACTCCCTGTCCTGATTTTTCACACTTGCTGTCTGGTCACCCTAACTACGACTCGTAGGGCAGCATTCTGATCTTTGACTAAAGACACAACGCTACTTACATCAAATCTGCTACTCTGCTGCATGCAGCAAACAGATTTTGAAGATCTCATTGTTTGAGGCATCTGAGATTAGAATCTGGCTCTGAGAATGAACATTTCTGATCTAGTTTGTTGCTTGGTTGCCACTTTCATTAAAATGTTGTATTATCCATAATGTTATTACTTACTTTTTTATCATAACTGGGAGTCCTTAACATTCAGTGTTGGTTTCTGACCAAATTAATTTATTGTCCTTGCAAATATTAAATGAGACCAATGTAGAAAATCTGTTCTACACTTTATCAAATAATAAAAATGCACAATACTAACATTATAGACAAACAACTTATGTTTCCAAAACACTTTAGATAGACTATTGATAATAAAAATTTAAAGAGCTTTTCAGAATTGTTGACAACCTGCTATTCACTTTCTGTGACTAAGGGTATGTCTACACGACAAGTGCTACAGTGGCACAGCTGCAGTAGCACTGTAGTGTACACACTTGCTACACCAACAAAAGGGGTTATTCTATCACTGTAGTATTCTTCTGTCAACCCAGCTGCATCTACGGGTTAGGGAGGAAGAAGGAGAGGAGTAAGATCAACTTAACCACATCACACAGCACATGAAATTTTTCACAGCTCTGAATGACTTAGCTAGGTTGACCTAAGTTTTAGATGTAGACCAGACCTAAGTCAAACAGCATTATAGATTTTACATTAGGACTTATTTCCATTGTTTCTATAGTTCAAAAACTGCTTTGAAAACCTTAGCCCATAAACTTAATTACAAGAGTGCAGACTCAACTGGTAAAACAAAGTTGAGATGTAATTCGTGGCTTGTTTCATTTGGCAAACGTTCTCTGCACTTAAATCTCAAAGCACTTTATATATCAATTGAATTTAGCGCTTTCTGTTAGTCGGATCTTTTTTGCGGATAGGGGAACAGACAGAGGCACAGAGGTTAGATAATTTTTCCAAAGTCACTTGAGGCCAAATTCTGCTTTATTACTCAGCTGGTGTGAGAGCAGAACTAGGCATAAAATGTCCATGTTGGCGCCAGAAACAGAACCCAGATCCCCTAAGTCCCATTGTTATGCTTTAAACACAAAACCACAAAAGCTCGTACTGAGGATCTCTATTAACTTCAAGCGTAGTTCTTAATTGACATAGATGAAATTTGGAACATTATTTTATAAAATCCTAATGTGTTGCCTTAAAAAAATAAATACAAACTTTGATTATGTATGGTATATGCTGATAGTCTGTGGTACATATAAGAGTATGGACTTTTGCCTCCCTATTTACATAAATCAAAAACATTCCTTCACAGTTTGTGCTACCAAATTGATATGTCGTCTTCTTTCTCCCTTTCATAGGTAAATGATCTCTGCTGGCATGTACGCTGTCTCTCCTGCAGTGTTTGCAGAACCTCTCTAGGAAGGCATACCAGCTGCTACATCAAAGATAAAGATATTTTCTGCAAACTTGATTATTTCAGGTACATCATATGACTCTTAAAAATGGAGCTCATTTTTCTGGGGCAACATGTGAATGAGACACCCAGACGTTCACTGAGGCTGGTATTTAGGTTGTCTTTCACCTTCACTATTTTCAATAGTCATTATGCACCAAAGCCTCAATTTCCTTAAGAAAGGATTGGGGAAACCTTAAGCAGTTTCTCTAAATGTAATGACATCATAATAGTTTGTAATATATTATTTATTTAATGTGCCATGTTGTGTATAATAACTAGAGCATTTACGGAAAAGATCCCTCACTGTTGAGGCCCATGAGGCAACTAAACTATCCACGATAGAAGTCAAGGCCCTTGCAATAATACAGACTCTAAAGTCATCAGATTAATACTTTCTTTTAATAGTGCTGGTTCAAGATTACAAAGTAGAGCTTTGATGTTCTATTCCAAGAAAAAGTGGATAGAATTCCTTGTAACACAAGCAAGACCCTTAGAACACCATAGAAAAGTATTAATTTTTTAAAAATCCTATTTTACTGTTTTGTATCTCCATGCAACCTGTAAACAGCATGTTCCCATAATTATAATGTGTTGATTTATGAGCAGTTGGTTTCGGAGGTGTGGTGGCATGCAGTGCAAGATTAGGGTATGATTCTGTGAAATATGGATTATGGTAACTTGTACTGGCTTCAAAGGGAATTGAGGGGAATTTGCAATTGACAAAATCAGGAGTGGAGTCCTGGCATCTTTTCGAAGTCAAAGGGAGCTTTGCCATTGACTTCAGTGGAGCTAAGATTTCACCGCAAATCCAAAGCAGGTAGGGAATATTCAACCATGAAATAAACTGATCATCTGATGACCACTGTAATACCAAAAGAGAATAATTTAAACAAAATAGTAATTTCAAATCTACTGATGGGTGCTTAGCCCTTTTGAAAAAACTAGGCTAGTTGTTTAGGTTTCTTGGAGCCTCAGTTTAAGCATCCATTTTGGAAGATATTGGTGTCAGATGTAATCCTAAAGAATAAATATCCATGCTTATAATATATGTATTCTAGTCACTATTTTCCTCTTGAAAATACAGTCAGATTCTGATAGAAAAATATTTTATCTCCATACTCTAGATAAAGTTGGATATTTGAAGTTCTTCTAAAGATCATAACAAAATTAGATGCTGTACTTTTTTCCCCTTGTTATTTCCTGGAATCTAATCTCTTTCCCTCTAGAAGCTTTCTAGATATATTTTCTCTGTTTTAACTTTCAGTTAGCAGTTGAACTAAGACCCAAATTATTTGGGCAACGTGGAATATGTTTGGATAACTGGGAGGTCGTAGAACACTAGATAAATAGGACAGGGAGACAGTTGACAATGGATTAAAAGGGGTATTTAGACAGTGGTGGGGTAAGTTAATATTTGATTCCACTTCAGTGATTAAATACATTTTGCCCCCTGACTTAAGGAAAGTATTAAATTTGTAATTGGACTGTAGCCCTGTTTTTAAAACAACCAGACGCAAACTTTTAAAATTGCTTTCCAGAAAAACAACGTAAATTCTACCGTCATCTAACCAATGAACAGAGTCAGTGCACTTACTATGAATCCCATGGACTGTTTCCCCATCAAATTGTCACTAATTTTCCTAGGGTGGTGGTCATGTTTTAGATGATTATTTCTGTGACTTAGCCTTTTGTTTTCCCTTCTTTGCCGTAGGCGGTATGGAACCCGTTGTTCTCGTTGTGGTAGGCACATCCATTCTACTGACTGGGTCCGAAGGGCTAAGGGAAATGTGTATCACCTAGCATGTTTTGCCTGCTTCTCCTGCAAAAGACAGCTTTCCACTGGAGAGGAATTTGCTTTGGTTGAAGAGAAAGTCCTTTGTAGAGTACATTATGATTGTATGTTGGACAATCTAAAAAGAGAAGTTGAAAATGGTAATATGCTGCTTTTATTAAATTCCTAGTTTGACTCTCATTTAGCCTTAACTAAATTTGCTGCTATTTCATCTTCTTTTATAAGAAAAGCAGTACTCTAGCTTTATTAAGGATAAAGGTGCATGTATTTCAATTAATGTTCAAACTACCCAATATATGTAACTCTTTCGTTATAATATGTTCAAGTCACTTTCTATCGTTCTGAAGAAAGCAAAGTAAAATATGTCTAGCTTATCCAGTTGGTCTGAGACATTGTAGATGTAATGCTGGACCAAATCCTGCTCTCCCTTATGTCAGTGAAATCTGGATGTCCATGGAATTACTCCAAATTAATACCAAAGTAATTTTGAACAAAACAGGACCCATTGTACAATTCCATAATAACCAGCTAACAAACATTAGAAATCTTTTCCAGAGTAGTGTGACTTATGATTAATATCATTCTGAATCATCAATATACAGAATTTTTTTTTCCACATCAGGGAATGGGATTAGTGTGGAAGGAGCATTACTAACGGAACAAGATGTTAATCATCCGAAACCAGCAAAAAGAGCTCGGACCAGCTTCACAGCAGATCAACTCCAGGTAGAGGCAGCATTGTGAGCACTGAAAACTGACAGTTCAGATATGCATAAAGATTTTATGCAATGAATGACTGCAAATTGATATAAATATAGTTACATATGAGCAAACTATTCTCTATGTTCTAAACTATTTAACAAATTATCAAGACATGGCATGTTTCTGGAATACTTTGTTAGCTTTAGCAGTTTAATATGAAATAGTTACTCCTCTAGCTTTTTTTTTTGTTTCCTTCAGGGCAGCTAGTAATTGTGCAAAGTGGAAACCAAAATGTTGATCTAGTATGACTGCTTGATGAAATCCATTTAATCAGACATTTATATCACTATGCATAATTACAGTAAAGAAAAAATATCTTCAGAATTATGTATTATGAAAAAATATACAAAGGAAATGTACTTCATATGCCTTCTCAGGACACTAGTGTGTTGGAGTTTTAGATTTCATTATACCACCACAATCAGCCTTTTAATGACCATCAAGATTGTGTCCTCAGAATTGGAAAGTATTATGTTCACATCAGCATAAACAGGAACTCTCAGGTTGGCTTCAGTCAAATTTAACCCGTCCTTATTTTATATGGCGAGGGGGTGGTGGTGGTTTGGAATAATTGAACTACTTTCTGCTGGTTTGTCTTTTGTGGAGGAAGGACCAATCTCTCTCTGGTATGCTTAAGTATACTGAAGATTGTAAATATATGTGACTTATAAAACAAGTATTAATGACGACTGTCAAATGAATATTCCTTGCTTTTTCTCCCCACCCCCTTAATAAGTGACTTTTCCAAAACATTCAGATCTTGAGACTACCTATTAAAGCATATTCTCCTCTATATTTAAGAGTGGAATGTTGGCTTATTTTTCAGAATCTTCATTTCACTACTCAGCACTAACTGTTTTAGGTCAAAAATATATTTTCATAGAGAGGGTGGGATTGGGGCAAAGTTAAATACTGAAAGAGTGTATTTGAAACTTAAGCAGAGTGTAGGGTTACCATATTTCAGCAAGCAAAAAAGAGGACGGGAGAAGCCCCACCCCTGTCCTGCCCTAGCCCCGCCCCTGCCCTTCCCACTCCCCCCCCCCTCAGAACCCCCAACCCTCCCCCCGCTCCTTGTCCCCTGACTGCCCCCTCCTGGGACCCCTGCCCCTAACTGCCCCCCAGGACTCCACCCCCTACCTAAGCCTCCCTGCCTCTTGTCCCCTGACTGCCTCAACCCTTATCCACACCCCCACCCCCAGACAGACCCCTGGGACTCCCACGTCCCATCCAACCACTCCCCACCCCGACAGCCCCCCCAGAACTCCTGACCCATCTAAACCCCTCTGCTCCCTGTCCCCTGACTGCTCCTGTCCCCCCCCCCCCGGGACCCCTGCTCCTAACTGCCCTCCAGAACCTCACCCCCTACCTAAGCCTCTCTGTTCCTTGTCCCCTAACTGCCCCCTCCTAAGACCCCCCCCAATGCCCCCCAGCACCTACCCCCTACCTGTACCCTGACTGCCCAAAACCTTATCCACACCCCCACCCCCAGAAAGCCCCCCCCCGTCTCTTGACTGCCCCCTCCAGAACCTCCCTACCCCTTCTCCGACCCCCTGGCCCCCTTGTTGTTGGCCTTCGCCTAATGTCTCTGTGAGCTTGTTCAGGAACGGCCTGAGCCGTTCGTCCCGGCAGGCTGGCTGGCAGGGGAGG